GGCTGGCCCAGGAAGGAGTTAAAGCCCTCATGTCAAGCCACAGGCTCAGGCACTGGCCCAGAAGGGACATGGGAACCAGGGCAGCCAGTGATAAAGGCCGGATTGTAGCAGCCCACTGAATTGGAAATGACTTGCAGGCCTAATGAAACAGAACTTTGGCAGTAAAACAGAATGAAAGGAATGAGACAATAAAAGGCAGGACAAAGGGTGCAGAGTCGGTTCAGCTTAGCAAAATAAGCTCACTTTGTTGTTGGGGGAAGCCAAAGCCGATTAGGATAAACCAATGAGTAAGCATAAGTCTTCCAAACTAATTACACAGTTCGCCATGTGAAGTATAACTGGAAGCCTCGAAACGTGGGCTGCCTGGCTCTCACGGGAGGCCTACAAAGCGAACACCACCTACTGAGCTGGGCACCACAGCAGCCCTATCATGGGGAACAGCTGAGCGGTGCGGAACTTCCCACTCCATCGGGGCGAGGCGGAGGACTGCTTCTGTGATCTCCAAAATCCAACAAGTGAAAATGTAAGAAATGGCACCTGAAAGAGGGGCCTAAAGGGGGAAAGGAAGAAACCGTGTACATGGAGTCTCTTTGACCCAGTGCATCTTAATTACCAAGCTAGGCTGATCCAGGTGACTCTTCATGGCGAACCATCCTGTACATCGTCTGGGACTGCATGGGCATATTAGAACACCAGCTACCTGTCATTTTTTGGAATGGCCTATATACATCATTCCTGAATGTATGAGATCACAAACCCAGGTAACATCCACTAAGAAACCAAGGAGTTAAACAAATTACTGCACATTAGTACTTTTGACAAATGAACAAAACTTGTTCCCTATAAGTAAAAGGCTGCTTAGTGCCAAAGTAGCAGCCAAGGTTTTATAGTGAAGAGAGGAGAGGAGTAGGTTATGCAAAATCGAGTGACAATCCAGGCTTTACTGAGCACAGATGTGATCTTACACAACTTTGTCTTTCTCATCACCCACATGACATATGCCACCTATCTCACTTGACATCCTTGAGAAACACATTTGAACATGCACTAAGAAGCTTAGCACACAAAACTGTAAATCAGAACTATCAGCACCTGGCGAAAGCATCTTCATAGTAAAATCTGAACCTCAAGATCCCAAGTTTCATCAATTTCGAGGGAGCACAAGAAATAGGGGATGGAAGTACTTCATGGTTTTCCTGGGTCTTACTCACAGTGAAGATTCCAGTCATAAATAGTGGCTTTTCCCAAATAAAGAATGCTGTCTCAAATACAGACACACCGTCCCTGCACCATGAAGTCTGGAAATGAACTCTAATATAATTAAGACTTTTGCATTATATACCATGCTCATCACTGTTGATAATGTACTGTGTTGGTTATGGTCTATAGATATCCTGGATTATAATCTATCTATATTTAGGAATTTTCTACATCACTGACTTAAAAACAACCTTAGGAAACATTTGATCCAGAAGTCAGCAAAAATATGACCCATTGGCCAAATCTGGCCCCATCATCTATTTTTATGAATTAAGTTTTCTTGGAACACAAACACCGCAACTATTTACACACTGACTACAGCTATTTTCCCCCTGCAACAGCATTAGTGAGTAGCTGCAATAGAGTCTACGTGGTTGGCAAAGTAAAAATATTTACTACCTAGCCTTTCATAAGTTTTTCAACCCTTCCCTCACAAAAGAAACTGAGGCAGCACAGAAACAACCTGTCAGGGTGGCACAGGAGACAACCCTGTGTCAGGCCCTGCATGAAGGCCTGGAATACCTCCTACCTTACCCTTCTCCAAGGAAGGCATCAGACAGCTATCCATTGGTCTTTACACCAATGGCCTCACTTCGTGATCTCATGTTACATATAAATGTCTCTAACCTGAGGGGGTAAATCTTCTGGGAGGAAGGTGAGAGACCACACAAAAGGTTTGCAAGCCTCCAATTTGAGTTATTCACTTCACCTTCAGTAATGACATATTTAAACACCCTTAGCTTGGCCCTTTGATAGCAGTCGAACTCATTCTGACTCTCACCTGAAACACAGTTGGAGAAGCTGCCACTTCAGGTAGGATGGGAAGAGGGAAAGGAGAGTGGAATGACAGTGAAACCTAAAAACTGGCACACTCTGTGTGGAGGCTGTGGAGAGATGGAAAGTTCTAGACTTGGAGGGAGAAGAAGCAGTGTGTGAATTTGGGCTCTTACACTGCCTTACCTGGGGGACCTTGCCTGGGACTTATGGCCCCTCCACCCTGACTACACCCCCCCCTTGCCAAATGGGCTGGGGGATGCCAATATCCACTGTGCAGGTGGAAGGAGGGGATAAAGTTCAGGTCCTTGGTGCTGCCCCATCCATTCTGAAGGGACACCATGTCTTCCTTTCCTCTACAGCCTCCTACCTACTCTAAGTCTATCCTGGGGACAGATCAGAGGTTGGAAGAGCGCAGGGTCTAGGTTCTAATGTCAGGCAGGCACTGGAGGATGGGAAGGCTATGACTTTGAGTCAAAGGAATAATACCTCCGAGATCAAACTTAACAATCTGCAACATGAAAACACCTACTGCCAGCTTCCTGGAGAAAAATGAGATCGTGTAAGTAAGCGGCCTGACCCAGAATGTGACACTTAGTAAACACTTCATAAATAATAAAATTACACCTCACTAATTTAAAGACCACCCAAAACAACTTCACACAGTCAGATATGTGAGTGTGTACATATGCGTGTGCACATATATGAGTATACTTCACGTGTGCATGTGTTCATATGCACATGCACTCTGCCTCCTTCAAACAGTATAAACTACTGAAGAGGAGAGTCAGTTTGTCAATTTATCTGTTACCTCCTTTCATAGCTGCTGGATTTACTCATGGCCCCTAAGGCCTGGCAGCAGTCTCTCCCTACTTTGATCATTCTGGATTCAAATGAATTATACGAGAATCCTGAGAGGAGGCAAGCCTGCCCAAGAGGCCAGAGACGTAACACTTGCCACCAGCAAATAAGAAATAAGCTCTTCTGAAGACAGACCCAGATATTATGCACGGCTTATGTATGAAGCGAGCTGCTAACATGGAAGCAGAGAGAGTGATGTGGGTTTGATACATTCAAAAGCCTCCCTAGTCTTTTAATAAAACACTTGATAAATTTACACATCTAGAAGGAATCCACAAAAATTACTACACAATTAACTGGGCAGCATCAGACACAGCAAGTGCCATACCAGGGAACATGGCCTGTGACTGCTTCCCACACAAAAGGACAACTGTTCTCAGGGCAGTGACAGAAGCTGCCGTGGGCATGGTCAAGGCCTGTGGAGCTTCCCCTGTTGACATTCTTGGGTCACAATTGTAAATTAATGAGAAACAACAGAAAGACAGAAAGGCAGAAAGGAAGAAGGAGTGAGAGAGAAGAAAGAGAGAAAGAAGCCGGGGGCTGGGGACATGCTGAGATGAACTGTCTGCTGGCAAGTACAGGCCTGTCTGGAACACTCTAACAACCCATCCAGACAGCGTCAACTTCTCTGACACCTGCAAATAGGCCCAGGAGATTCCAGGGCAGGTTATGGCTAGAAAAAGAAATCCCACCTCATGTTTGCAAACACTACCCCTGGACGTGTTTAAAAGGCAGAAGATGGCAAAGACAGAGCTTTCCATTATGCAAGATGGATTTGTCTCACTTAATGATTTCCAACCTCTGTTCCAGAGGCAGGGTGGGGCCAGGTGATGGACAAATCCCCTAGTGCCTTACATCAATCTTGGAGAGAGAAGTACTGTAATGTGCTTGGTCACCAACACACTCAGCTGTTCCCTAGAGATGGCCAGAATGAATGAGCCCCAAAGAGCCACGGGGAAGGCATCTTTCAGAACCCACCTGGGTGGGCAAGTCAGTGCCATTTCAAAAGCACGGCGGGACTGGAAGAGTCTGCTTTCTCCTTGTTGCATGGTCTCACATGCACAAAGAAATTGATTAACACCAGAGATTGGAAATTTTCCATTTCAAAGCTAAATAAAGGTCATGGCCCTCATCACAGACAGTGGCTCACAAACGGACACACCTGGGGATGGAGTTATGGCTGCCCATCGCCCTGGGCAAACAAATAGAAGCACAGAACCTTCCCAAGGGCCAGCAGGCAGCAGTTCTTTGTCCCGCCCAGGGCAAGCATGACAGCCATGTGGGAGTAATGGGTAATGGAGTTTCGAGCAGGCACCGTATCTTCCCAGGATGTCACAGTGCTCTGCCCTTCAGCAGCGAAGACAGACTTGTGGGCAGGGAGCCGGTCCCACGCATGGGTTCCTGGGACAATGTCCATAATCACTCAAAGCTGCAGGAAGTGGAGGGCCAGCTCAGCCGCTCACCTGCCAGCCTCCTTGGACCCGGAGCTTCTGCAGGAGCCACAGGAGAGATCACACGAAGGCCAACAAGGATTAGCCTCTTGGAGCTACAGGGCCATCTGAGGAGCACACCACCCACAGGAAAAGCCCACCAGCCAAGGCACTGCCTGCCCCCAACAAGGAAGACACCAACTTAAGCAACTACCCATGCATGCTCATCCTGTCTGTCTGTCTGACACCCTCTTACCCTTTGTTTCCTGGCTGTTTTGTGGCTCCCTGTTCCAGCCTATTTGGGCAGCAGAAGCCAGGGTGTCGTTTTGCTCCTGTCCCACAGGCACTCAGATCAGAGAACGGTGATTCTAGCCAGAGTCTTTCCTGAGTCTCTGTGGACACTTGATGGGGGGTATTCAGCCGCCAAGGGCCCCCGTTAACTTCATCTATCAATGTACTTTCCAGAAAGGTACACAATAAGGAAGCCCAGCACCAGCTCACTGGCCTCTAGCAGCTTCTGTGGGCGCCTCTGCCCTGTGAGTCATAGCCATGCATCCCTCCCCAGCCTAGACCCCATGCGGACAGCAAATGCCAGCAAAGGCACGTTGAAAGGCCACCCTGTCTGCTCCTGCAGGCACACAGGGCACTGTGCCCATCCCAATCTGAACTCTTCCATTGTGGCTCCTGCCCGATTGTCACTTAAATTGTGACAGCCAAGTTCAAGGACGAGGTTCTTAAAGACAAAACTATGGCAGAGGCAGGGGCCATGGCTGCCACTCCTAAGAACTGATCAGCTTCTTGTGGCCCAACCCCAAGCAGTGCTTACCTTGCCAAACTGCTCGAAATATTGCTTTACATCTTCCACTACTGTGTTCGCAGATAATCCGCCTACAAATATTTTCTTTGTTCTTGTGACCATCTGTAAGAAATGACAAGATGAGGGCACAGGTTAACCAGGTTATCTGAAGCAGTGCTTGATAAGACGCTAAAACAAGCCCTGCTCCACGGTTCTCCAGAAAGGCAATTTTAGATTTGTGCAAGCTGCATGGACTAGGCCATTAGATGTCTAAGGATGCTTAAGTCACCGCTCTGCAGGTCTCAGGCATTCAGCCTGACAGAGTGAAGGATCTTCCTACAGACAGAGTGGACTTCGAGACTGCTGTGGCCACAAAACATGATATACCAGCATAGAGAGAAAAAACCCACAACAGGCTATTTTAAATCTAAGCGAAGCAAACAAAACAGAGCTAAAGTCATAAAAGCTGCTGCCCAGAAAGTAACCCACAAAACCTTGTCAATAAGAATTGCACAAATAATTCAAAATGAGGTGCGACCTGTCTATGCTCAGCTGTCCTAGCGCTGGTATATGTCTACAAACAAGACAGGCACCAACCTTGCTCCCAGGGACCACCTTGCAAGTTCTGTCCCATATTCCTTCCCCTCTGGATTCTTCGTAATTCACTCTGATTCACTCTATGCCTTAGTCAAGCCCCAGTAATCCCCAGGTCTCCACACCTCTGTACTCACAGGTCCTTCTTGGAATGCCTCTCCATTCCTAAGTTTTCCCATGGCAAGTTGAACCGATCCTCCTAGGTCCCACGACCTTCTCCCAAATTTAAACTATCTATTTGCTGTCCCAGCCAGGAGTTATTCTTCCCTCCACTGAAATCCCCAAACCCTGCATCCATAAGCCCCTGGCAGCACTCACTATTCATCACCCCATGTAAAGTTACTTCCTCTGCAGGTGGTCCAGGCTCCTGACTCCCTGCAGAACCCTCCACAATGCGGAGTACAGGATCGGGCACACACCAGCCCCCCCACACCAGATGCTTAGCGGATGCAAAAATAAGCAGATATGGCCACATTTCAGAATCCCACCAGTTCGAAAGCAAAGGGAAGAGGAAGCTCCATGACAGAAACTACTCAGATCAGAGATCAAAAGTCTCACACACAGGAGCTAAAAATTAAGTCTTCATTTTGAAGACTGAGTTCATACTATGTGTTGATTTTTTTGTTTTGCTTTAATGTCAAAATTAAAAACTGGAGCCAGGCACAGTGGTGCACACCTATAATTCTAGCACTCAGGGGAACTGAGACAGGAAGATCACCAAATTTAAAGTCAGCCTGAGCTACAAAGCAGGATCCTGTCTCAATCATCAATCAATCAATAAATAATTGAAAAACTAAATTAAAATAAAAAAGTGATAAACAAAGTGGGTGCAAGATCTCACCAGTTTGGGTATCTATAACAAAAACAAATACCTGCCATTTATGTCTATTTTAACTGGATACAGGATGCAGGGGCCACGGCTACCTGGATCCCTGACCTTACTAGGCCAGTGTACCTAGTATATTTGCTGAGTGAATGAATGAACCAACCCAATTCCCACATTTCAGCTGAGTGACACCGGGAGCACAGAGGTGACCTACAAGAGTATAAAAAGGCACTGGAGATTCAGTTTCAGTGTCACACTCTGCATGTGACCCTGAACAGAACTCAATCCCTTAGCTCTGAGTTCTCTCCTCTATTCTGACAGGTGCTAGACCAGAACCCCAAGGGTGTGAAGGACAGAGGCTCCCAGATGGTATGGAGCTCAGATCCTGAACTGGAACACCATTGTAATGGATTGTCTGTACACTGTTTTAAGAGGACACTTCCCTGGCCACTTAACACTGCCTGCTGCCTTCCTCCTATTGCCTGTGAGCACCATGCAGTGGTCTGCTCATGTGACTAAAGCTGCAATTTATGGGTTTTCATCCCCTTTCAGATGATAGGGGGCTGGGTGAGATATATGTGAAGCCATTCTCTAAAGCGCCTGCCAGTGTCTATGCCACCAAAGCTCCCAGACCTTCTCATCATTGCTCTTCCTGTCCCTCTCCCTTTTCATCCCCAAAGTCCCCCTGGTAGATCCAAGGTCACCTTAGGTGAATGAAACTCCATCAGGACTTGTTTAAGATGGTTAATCTTGATTGTCGATTTGATTGGATTGAGAAATGCCTAAGAGATTAGTAAAGCATTGTGTGTGTGAGTGTGAGTGTGTGTGAGCGTGAGTGTGTGTGAGTGTGAGTGTGTGAGAGTGTGTGTGTGAGTGTGTGACTGTGAGTGAGTGTGAGTGTGTGTGTGAGAGAGTGTGTGTGGGTGTGAGTGAGAGTGTCTGAGTGTGTGTGAGTCTGAGTGTGAGTGTATGTGAGTGTGTGTGAGTGAGTGTGAGTATGTGAGTGAGTGTGAGTGTGTGTATGTGAGTGTGAGTGTGTGTGAGTGTTTGTGTGTGTGTGAGTGAGAGTGTGTGTGGGCGTGTTTGTGAGTGTGTGTGAGAGTGTGTGTGGGTGTGAGTGTGTGACTGTGAGTGTGAGTGTGAGAGTGTGTGTTTGTGAGTGTGTGTGGGTGTGAGAGTGTGAGTGAGTGAGTGTGAGTGTGTGTGAGTCTGTGTGAGTGTGTGAGTGTGAGTGTGTGTGAGTCTGTGTGAGTGAGTGTGAGTGCGCGCGCGGCAGCGTTTCCAGGGATGAATGACATGAATAACAGAATCTGAGGAGGAAAGATGAACCCTGACTGTGGGCTGAGGGCAAGCATGGAGTAAAAGTGGAAAAAAGAGAAAACCAACTAGCACAGCTTGCTCTGTCTCCCTCCCTCCTTCTCTCTTCTCTCCCCTTCTCTTCCTCTCTCTCCTTCCTGAGCACCATGATGTGAGCTGCTGTGCTCTGCCATGCCCTTTCTTCCATGATGGACTGAAGCCTGAAATGGTGAGCCAAAATAAATCCTTCCCCCAATGGTTTGCATTAGGTACTCGTCTCAGCTGTGAGAAAAGCTAACTAACATGGGGCCTCTCAAGACTGAAGTCTCTCCTTATACTCACTAATCACCAAATTTTAACCTAACTTTCTTAAGATATTCACCCAACAGATACATTAAATGCTAGGCGCAGGAACTTGCATTCTAATAGAACATGGAATTCAACCTCCTATAAAATGAAGATATAATAATTAGCCTACCATCCAAGATTCCCATGAGGGCTAAATTAGATATGCCAGAAAGTCTAGTCGGGCACAGTATAGATGATAAATAAATGGTCACAGTAACTGAATCCAAAGTCTGTTACTAACCTCATCCTTTACGCTCAGAATAAACACACAGCAGAAAGATGTGTTAGAGAAAAAGCTTTGAAAAATCAACTCCTATTGCCTCATTCTCTTCCAGTCTAATCTCAAAAACGCTTGCATCTCTACGTGGTATCAGGTGTGCAAAGATTCCCAATAGTCTAATTTTAGACTTTTCATTCTTTTTTTTTTTTTTTAACCACAGCCAAGTAATTAACTATCTCTAAGGAAACCTGACGTGGCCTAGACACGTACTGGTGGCGCTCTCAAAGCACCTCTGGAGAGACATCTGGACAAGGGAGCCTGAGGCTTCCTTCACATACGCTGCTTAGGGGCGGTGGTGCAGAGTGGGTTCTGTCTATTGCATTCCATGCATGTGGACAAAGAGAAGGGAACAAGCGCCAGGTCTTCATTCCACATTACAGAATTCAACAGAATGTTCACTGCTCGGTAACAGGTTAAATGAAAAGGTCTCTCAACACATCCTCCCCTGCCGCCTTGCAGCAGTAAACATGCCAAGACAGCCCTAAACAGGGAGGTAGACGCACAGCCATGAATCTACACAGTCCCCCCAAAAGAGTCTTAAAAACATTTTTTTTTGGCTGGAGGTGGGTAAAGGATGAAACTCTCCAGGCTCCAAACAGCGCACCAAAGAGTCCAAGTTACTAAAAACATCCTCTCCAGGAACAAGCTCAGATGTACTGATGGAACCCACTCCTCAGCAAACGCTAAAAAAGAGGCTGGCTTAATCAAAATCTCCCAGACATGAAAAGGCCAGTGGGAAGATGTGCCACACTTGGTTAGCTGCTCACTGATGTCTTGGCTTCGGGAGAGGGGAACACAGCTAGGAGGGGTGCAAGGAGAGTGCTGTGCACAGTGATCATTCCCACCAGGGCCACAGGGGAAATGGGGTGATCTGCTTTGAGAATTCTGACACCATTACTGCCAAATAAAGTGTGGACTGCTTGGCAATTTGCATTCTGGTGAGGGACACCAGAGACACAGGACCATAGAGTCACATTCTTCTCTCCACTTCCCTTCCACCTCCATGGCTACTGCAGAGGGCAGGAGAGAGGTGGTGCTTGGATGTCGTGCCCAGTCTCTCAGTGAAACAGAATGGAGGTCTTCACCTTCCCATCAGTACTGTGCAAGGTTTGGGTGCACATGTGAGTGTGCATACAAGCCTGTGAGTGGGTATTCAGGGAAACTCCAGTCCAGCCCTCAAGTCTTGGCTTCTATTGTCAGGAACTATCCAAGTAGTCCCCTGCTTTAACCTTCTTATGACCTTGGAAAGAGTGAACAGAATAAGGTACAGTTGGCCCCCTGCTTCTATGTTCCTTTGCATTACTATTATTATTTTTTAAATTCCTCCCACCCAGTGAAGAAGCCACTTGTTTCCCTCCTGCACTGGTTCTTGACCCTGTGGGATACAGTAGCACTGGTCACTAAACACCAAAATGCTCAGATGGCCTCACTTGGTTCCCGCAGGGCCAAGATGAAAGAAGTCACTCACATGTTCTATAGAGAGCTCAGACCAAAATCCCCTGGGAAATTGACCTTAAACTTCCTTTGCCCGTGGGGTTTGGTGGAGGGGCTGCAGGAAGCCCTCTGGTATGTGTCTTACACTAATGGAGACACTGGATACCTATCTGAGAGCTCTGCATCCCTAGGCAATACATCCCCCTACCCACGAGCCCCTTCTTTTATGGTTTAGGTATCACTTTGGGAAGTGAGGTGTGTGTGTACAAACACATGTGTATATACACGTGTACATATGCACGCATGTGCATGCTCTGGGCTGTGTGCATGTGGCCAAGCGGTGAG